CTGGTGGAGGTCTGCTTGTGGTAACAATTCATGAAGCTCAGGATGTTGAAGGAAAGCATCACACTAACCCATACGTACGACTTCTTTTTAGAGGGGAGGAGAAGAAGACTAAGGTATATAATTTACACATAAAATTGCATTAGAATTTAGCATAAGTATACTGGTCTGTTCATATATATATATATATATATATATATGTCTAATAGATTTGTGTTGTGGGGTTCTTTATATCTTCATTTTTATTTGCACATGATACATCTTATGAGCTCTTCCAAAGTTTATGGGAGAACCATGTTGAAATTAATTTTCTAGAACTTTGGTTCTAGTTTATATTTATTTTACTTCAAGTGGCATTGGTTGGCCTTGTGGAATGAATAGTTCTCTTGCCTCTCAAGGGGATTCATTTTTTCCTTTCAGCAATGATCATTGCTTCATGGAAGTTAGTTACAGAAATGTCTGTGAGTGATGGGTGGGACGCCATTCTGTTCTGAAACAAAATGCTGGGACCTGTGTGTGGGAAGTAGATGATCAGTGAATTTAATGTGAAGCAAACATTTACCGGCCTATGATTAACTGTTTCCTATTTTCTTCATACAGCATGTAAAGAAGAACAGAGATCCAAGATGGGAGGAGGAGTTCCAGTTTATGCTGGAGGAGCCCCCACTAAAGAGAAGCTACATGTGGAAGTTGTCAGCTCCTCATCCAGGATTGGTCTGCTGCATCCAAAGGTACAGATTGTAAAATTTATTTTTAATTAACCTCGTATAAAGATGATGAAGTATTAGAAGAGTGCTACTAAAGTAATCATAGTCATTTTGCTTGTGAAGATGGTTTGCTTGGGTAGCACCATCTCTGCACAAAAAGTCCCTACCGAAGTTAAGGTTGTGCCATAAGGCTCAGATATTTGGGAAACAGAAAATAATCCCAAGGAAACAAAAAAGGAAGTCATAGGCTGTATTTTGGGTGACTCCATATTTTTCCGTAAATGTAGTGCTTCATTCTCATGCTCGGAAGGAATTTTTCTGGAAAGTTTTCCTGAGGCACGCTCTCTATTACCACACATGGTTGAATAAAATATAAAAGCTTCCAAACTAAGCAGACAATCCAGTTCAGCTATGAATTGAAATTCAAAAATCATTCACTGAATGTTATTGTTCTGGTTAGCTTTTAGTATGTCTATTATCCAGCAGAGTGTTGAAGGATTTCGTGTTGTTTCCTTTTTCTTTAATCAGGAATCACTTGGTTATGTGGATATCAATCTCTCAGATGTTGTTAGCAACAGAAGAATCAACGAGAAGTATCACCTAATAGACTCGAAGAATGGACGGATTCAGATCGAGCTGCAGTGGAGACCAGCTTCATAAGCCTATTGTTTGTTCTCTCTTTTCCTTCTCTTTTACTTGTCCTGAAGCCTGGATACTCGAACTTCCTTCGAATATGTGGAAGGAATATGTTTTTGTTGTTTCAGCAAAATTCTTTTTGTTGCTTCTGTACATTATTTGCAATTAAAGAAACTACTAATAGACACATGAGGTTCAACATCCAGAGCTTACGAATATAGGTAGCCTTCCCTGCTGTCACCAATCAAAGAGTCTTTAATGGATACAATTACACAAGGAACTCCATAAATTGTAGATATCAGCTAGAATGAATTTTTTTGGCTGGTTTCTGTTTCAGCATGTAAAGCCCAAGTAAAGATAGCACAGTTGAATGAGAAATGAAATCCACAATACAAATCGTCATAGTTGTGTAGGTATAACCCAGAGAAGATACACTTGAAAGTGAATATAATTTTGCTTTAATTGCATGTTGGCATGTTGAATGAGTTATTTTTCTGAAGTGTAACAAGAAAACAAAAAACTACAGACTCGATTATCCAACACGCTTTCGTTTCAGCAATCCATGGTGTCTAAAAACTAAACTTTGAAGAGTTCCAACCACATATACAGAAGTTCCATCGTTGCCGGTTCATGCACCGGCTACTCTCCAGCAATTCTGTTGCACTGGCCACTCGCCAGCAGGTTCTGTTTATCCATCACAACCGATGACTTTCCTGTGTACGGAGAGTCTAGAAGTGAGCTTGTTTAGGCAACAAAATTAATGAAGTTGTTATTAACATTAACAAAAAATTTAAAGTAAAACAATTGTTTAATATTTATTGCATTATTTGAAATACTATTCTCCTAGTCTCATTTATATAAAAATTCACCGTGCATTATGTTTTTTACTATGTGGTGGTATTTTTATAGTTTTCATATTTTCTAAAATCATTTATTATGAAAGTTTTCGTGGTATTACATTTTGATTTCTCTTTTTTAAACATAGGTTTTTTAATTAGCAATTTGTTTGTTTCATTTTGGTTTTTCTTTTTTGTTTCATTTAGGTCACTTTGGTCCTTGTTTTTTTTTCTCTGTTTTTTTAATTAAAAATTTTAAGGAAAAAACGGTTTAGAAAAAACAATTTACAAAATAAGTTTTTAGCTAAGAATCCATTAATTTTGATATTTTCTTTCTTGCATTATTATAAATTTTGTAGTTAAGAATGTAGATAGAGATAAATAAATAATATTTTTTAATAAAAAATTATGAAAATATAAAGAATAATTAGAGTGAAGTACAAAATTTTGATTAAAAAATTATAAAATTAAACGAATTTTTATTCGGTTTTAATTTGATATATTTTAGTAGATGCATAATATAATAAGGGATATCAAAATGAAATAATTTTTTCAAAATAATTTTATATGTTTTGTCCTATTTCAGTATAATGAGAATAAAAAAACTAATTAATCACTAAAAGTAAATCATTATGCATGGGGGAGAACTACATTCATTTGTGTGTGTGTGTGTGGGGGTTGGGGCGTGGGTGGGTGGGGGGATCAATTATTTTCTTATTCGTTCCCCAAATTCTGTATTTCCGGTTCTTCCATGGATGTACAATCCAGATTAGTGAGAGAGACGAAAAAAAAGAAAAGAAAGGTAAATAATACGACAACACAACATTTCATGCATGAAGATGTATGTCCTCTGATTGCTTTGTCAATCTTGTAGCTTATATATATTTTAAATGTCTTCTTTTCATTCTTATCAGATTAGGAAAAACCGTGGTTTAGGAAAAACAACAAAAACTTTCAAGTGCATTGAGGTTTCAAAACCTTGACATATGAAGGTTAGAACCATCAGAAGTGGCATGAACTAAACTTGCAACTCTATCTCGTTGCAATGCAACCCATATATCAGATTAGGAAAAACCCGTTGCAAGTTTAGTTCCTTGGCTAGAACCATCAGAAGAGGTCGCAGAGATGCAGAACCAACCTACTGTGGTAAAGTCTTTCTTGATTGCTGCGTGCAAGTCCCACCTAATGTCAAGCCTAGAAAGGCTTTGGCCAAGCAACAGATAAGTTCTTTCCCAAATCACGTGGCTCCATATTTGCTACGATCAATCACATAATCTGCAACTGGCTGAAGATTGTTGAGTGAGACGAGCGCTTCATAACATAGATTTTAGAGTCTAGTGGACCGTGAAATTGAACTCGGCTAGAATGTTAATAAAGTGTTTGTAGAGGCTGCTTTCTCGTTTAGACGCATACAGTTCTGACAAATTGTTTTCGATTCGAGACTTCTTAGAATAGGGGAAACATTAGTGTTAGAGGAGCTACAAGCTCTTTGACAGTTAACAGGAGTCATATCCAGCTGCAACCTGTTAAGATAATAAGGCTACATTAATCATTCGCCGAAGAAGTGTGTTCAAACTCTCTTTTTTTTTCGTTTTTCGCTAGAAAACGGGGATGAAAGCTCAGCAAATAGCAGAAAACCTACGGATACAAGCAGGACTCCAGCAACAGCCAACAACAACTTCAGGTCTCTAGCTAGTGGCATGAACTAAACTTGCAACTCTATCTTGTTGCAATGCAACCCATATATCAGCAAGAAAATCGGCGCACTTGCTATGCCTATTTGTACCAGCGAGTCGCTTTTCTATAGCAGCAGACTGAAAGTTACAAGTAGGTAGCACCCTGAGCACAGCTCGAGAATTAGCTTCTAGCACCCTGAGCACAGTTCTAGAGCCCAGGTTCTATGCACCATTTAGCATTTTACCATTGCGTTCAATTCACCAATATCAAATGTAAGCGCATGGTCCACTGACTTCGTCCCATTTTGAAAGTCTCTGAGATTAGTACAAGGATGGTGAGACGCACTCAGGACTTGTAAATGACAAGTTATATTTTAGTCCTTAAATTTTATGAGTGTATGATTGGGTCCTAAACCAACAAAATTTTGAAACTATCCTATCTTTCTTCTTCTTCTTCTTCTTCTTCTTTTTCCTAGTGACTGAACATAAAATTTATTTATTTTTTCAGTTTGGTCAATTACCACTTGAAAAATAGGGCAGATTAGAAATCTCACTCGAGTCAAATTAACTTTTTTCTACAAGGGAACCTAACATAACTGCTTGTCACTTCTTTTGTTTTCAATAAATACATACACAATTTATAATAGATAATCAACATCATAATAAATGAAAATTAAGATTAACCATAAAAAATGAAAAAAAAAAGATTAACCATAATAATAAAACAAAACGATTAACCATCATCATTAGATTTCTTATCCGTCATCATTATTAGTCCATTACAGGTTCCAAATTACCGAGCTTGGATCCAATCATTTAGGCCGGGCCGGGGTGGTCCGGGCCAGATTTGATAATTCAAGGGCAGCTGAAAAAGCCTCCGATCGAAAGAAATGGTCTTCACTCTTCGCTTACTCGGTCGACCGAAAAAAAAAAAAAAAAAAAGAAAAAAAAACACATAAAACTATCTGCCACGTAGCAATCTCAGCAAAATCACCGCTAATCCCCACTACACCATATCAAAACGTGCCAGTTTATCCAAAATTCAAAGCTCTCGTTTCATTTTATTGCCCAGTTCTCTCATCTTCCATCTCCCCTTCTTCTTCTTCAACTTAGTTAGAGTTAGAGAGAGAGAGAGAGAGAGAGTTCCAATGGCGTTACCGGTCGTTGACACAGACTACCTGAAAGAGATCGACAAAGCACGTCGCGATCTCCGTTCTCTCATCGCTTACAAAAACTGCGCTCCTATCATGCTCCGCTTAGCGTAACTAACTAACCAACCAACTCATTCATTACCCAGTCTCGTTGTTTGAATCTTTCTGTTTTGGTTGATTTTTTTGCGGTTATTGTTGCGTTGAAGGTGGCACGATGCAGGAACCTATGATAAGAACACGAAAACTGGAGGAGCTAATGGTTCGATAAGGAATGAGGAAGAGTACTCTCATGGTTCTAATAGTGGCTTGAAAATCGCTATCGATTTTTGCGGTTAGTTAGTTACTTGCTTTCCACTGAAATTTCAGTTGTTTTTGAAGCTTTTTTGTGTTTTGATTTTTATTAACTTTTTTTAGAGGAAGTGAAGGCGAAACACCCGAAGATTACTTATGCAGATTTATACCAGGTGATTTCTTCGATTAATTGATGAATGGTTTAATTAATACTGCAGATGATTAAATAAATATTTAATTAATACTGTTACTTCCCATTTATATGTCTATTTAATACATTGTTTCACATATTTGGTAGTTAATAATCAATAATTATACTGATTTTCTCGTCGAAAAATAAGAATATGTGGACCTATATATAATTTGAAAAACTTGTGATTCTAGAGTGAATGAAGTAGCGATTTTCGGTGTGGGTTAGTGGAATGTTCCAAGGATCATGCACCAGACATGTGCATGCGTCCAGGCACGTATGCACATTTTCCTTGGGAAGGGAGAAACTAACTATATAGTTCGTGGATAGAGATGTAAGTTCTCAGGACGTTACAACCTCTGACAGGACTAAATCACAAGGCCGAAAGTTTTAATGAATTGTCTGCCTGACCTGTCTAGTCAATCTTCACAAGAATTGTATGTTAATTGCGATGAAATGATGAGGTCTAGTCATTCAAGTATAGTATGGGGTGGTTTCTGTCTATCGCCATCCACGGTATTGAGTGCTAACAAATATGGATACAATCGATGTCCTTTTAATTGATGAATAGGTTTCTAAGGTTTTTTGGGGGAAGAATTTGGAGAGATATTCTTCTAATATGTTATCATAGCAATTTAGAGGAATTTGTTGAAGGGTATTGGGAGGTGGACCCCATTAGATGTACTGTCATGGTTCCTATTATGTTCCTTGGCATGATACGCAACTATATTTGCCAACCTATGAACACACGAACAAACCTTAATTCCATGATTGTTACTTTAGTCAGTACATTAAGTTTAACATGAGAGTAGTTGTTGATCTATAATGAGCGGTGGTTTTAATATGAAATATTTGGATATTCCAGTATAATTGTTGGGTTCAAAACTAGAATGAGCAAATTGACTTATAGTCAACTACTTGCTTGTGCAGCTTTCAGGTGTTGTTGCAGTGGAGGTCACTGGAGGTCCAACCATTGATTTTGTTCCTGGTAGAAAGGTATGTGATTGTGGCATTTCTCGAAGATATAGGTGATTATGAGTTCATAACATTGCTGACTGTATGTCCATTTTCTTAGGATTCAAACATTTGTCCCAAGGAAGGGCGGCTTCCAAATGCCAAACTAGGTATTTTCAGTGTTTTAATTGCTGTAGAAATTTCTTTAATTTAACTCAGGGGTTGAAATTCTCAAATTGTGGTTCTTTCTTCTAATTCCATGAACTTACCTAAACCTGATTCAAAGGGAAGGTGAATTATGCATTTGGGGTTTGTGTCTTTTTGATGCTGTAAATAAACTCATCTATTGTGTTTGCAGTAACAATAAAACTAATAGTTAAGGGGTTCGTATTGTGCAGGACTGACTAGCAGACTAGTCTCTCTGGCTATAATTATTCATTGAATTTAGCTGTCTTCAAGTAATCTTCTCAGTAGATTGAATTGCTGTTTCAACAATTTAGTTTTCCAATTCTTGAGAACTTATGTTCCACTTGAACCCAAAAGTTCTACCCATAATACGCTGTGTTGTGTTGAATATTAGGTGAAGTGTTAGTCAGGATTGTAAATTGTTGTGGCGTTTAGCTAAGTGGCAGAACCATGACACAAAATGCAGAGCAAGTTCGTGTTGGGGATCCAATGCATTTGTTTACTCTAAGCATTGCACATGAAGATACTAGATTTTCAGGCAATATTATTAGTAGGTGAATCACTTATAATTGCTTGTTTGTTGATAACAGAACCTTATGTTAATTCTTTTGCCTTTTCTGCACCTGTTTTTGTTGACTTATTCATTGCATTAGATTAGAGTTCTGTCTCATAAAATTACTCCTAAATCCCTATAGTTCTACAGTTAGAGGTGGTTTAATGTGGAAGAGAGTCAGGTTCTCGTATCTAGATTCATGTGATGATCTCTACTTTCATTGGTTCTGCTCATAGAGCAGTCATGCTGATCTGTTCTTTTATCTCACAACAGGCATAATTTTGTGCTGATTTCTGTGTAAGAACAATTTTTCTAAGTTGTAATTTGCAGCTGTTCTATGACTGTAAAAACTTGATGTTGTTTGATCATATGGGCTGCTTATTCAGACTTTCAGTTTAGGGAATTTCTTCAATGGCGAATATTTATGCTGAACTGAGAAGTTTCATGGGGGCCCATCTCATATTTTAGACAGCTCCATATTAATGAGTTTTGTTTGTTGTTCTTTCGCATCTGTTCCTATGGATGATCTTGGAAGAGTACATGTGGGTTGACTATGCATACCTTTTGAAAGTTCATATGTTATAGGGCATTTTGAAAAGACTTGTATTTCACTATTCATTCCTGAACAATGGCAGGTTCACCACATTTGAGGGACATCTTTTATCGGATGGGTCTATCTGATAAAGATATCGTGGCTCTTTCTGGAGGTCATACTCTGGTAATTCTGCACGACTGTTTCTGATGTTCTTTGTAGATCTGATAAGCCACAGGTGCTCAAATCTGTAATTCTTTTGCTGGCTATTGTTCTATTTAGGGAAGGGCACATCCAGAGAGATCGGGTTTTGATGGCCCTTGGACTGAGGAACCTCTAAAGTTTGATAACTCGTACTTTGTGTAAGTTTTAAAGCAAGCTGAGCATACTCCCATGTCTCTTTGTGTAGAAATATGAAATTAATTAATCTATTTACTCACTGTCTATACTAGGGAACTAATGAAAGGGGAGACAGAGGGGTTATTGAAACTTCCAACAGACACTGCTCTATTGGATGACCCTGCCTTCCGTCCTTATGTTGAGCTGTATGCTAAGGTAATGTCGGCTTTATTTTCGAGCAAACAGCTTGTTTCATGAATAGCTCTTCGTAACTTTTCATATCCCCTCGCAACCTGCATTGACTTCTCCATGAAAGATTGGGTCTGGATAAAACTATTGGCTCGACCAACTTGAAACCTGGTGTTATCATTCATTGCCTTTCTATGGTTCCTTTTCAAGGGACAGGTTCTCATGTAGTGTTTTTTGAACAATAATTAAATTTTCCGAGGTTAGTTTAGACCATAATCTAATTTTGCTCTAAATTGGGTCTTTTGTGGCCTTTTTTGGAGCTTATATTCACTGATTAGCACCCTTATGGTTCTTTGGCCCACTTTAAGATTGGGAATCGCAGGGGTATATCTATGCCTTGTCTTGCAACTCTAACTAATAGTAAAGAATACCCAAGTTTCAGATTGGTGTCATAGCTAGATTCATGGAGAGTGTGGGATGACTTCAACTTGCCTGCTTCACCCTGGGGGATCTAAAACGATATATAATTTCCTTTTGTTCAAATATTTGTTGTTTCTCAGGACGAAGAAGCATTCTTTAGAGACTACGCAGCTTCGCATAAGAAGCTTTCAGAACTGGGGTTCACTCCAAAGTCCTCTGGATTCAAGGTCAAGGATAGCACTGTAATGGCACAAAGTGCAGTTGGAGTAGCAGTTGCTGCGGCTGTTGTGATCCTTAGCTATTTATATGAAGTTCGCAAGAAAATGAAGTAGATCATGTACTGTTATTTTCTCAAATAAATGAGTGGCATTTACTTAATTTTTACAGCCCACTAGCTGAATACTCAATATTTGTATCCATTAATAGCAAAGCACCTACTTTACTCAATACAGGCAATCCAACTTCATTGCAAAGTCAATATCATAATACATGTATGACAAATGATTTTCTTATGATTATCTCAATTTGCTAAGTTATTGTGCTAGAAAGTAACATCTTATCAACAGGTATGCAAGATTACAGTGATATCTCCTAGCATTAAAGACTTTGGTACGCATGGTTAGGTATGTGACCATACTTCTTTCGATGCTTTCTTTCTTATCTGAAATAGTGAATCCAACTTTGTCCAAGCTATTGGGTTGAATGCTCATTTCAAATGATAAGCAATAGATTGGAAGAGCTGGGTGTGTGGCTATAGTGTATTGCATTACTCGTGTCGTTTTTCATATTTTATATCCGGAAGACAGATATTTAATGCTTTCATAAACTGCGGAACTCTGTCTACTCTCTCCATTAGTCCAATTTAGATCCAGAAAACGATAAATCAAAAGTCTTTGAATCTCAATTTTATCATGACGGGATAACCTCATTTCTTGTTTCCCCCACAAATTCTCTTGTTCGTTGCGCAGCCTGAGAGGTCTAATGACCTGAGACGTAACACGGTTATCTAAACAGTATTTTCAATGTCTTGGAGCACCGGTTATGAATATGCACATGGAAGGGTTTTTTTCCTACTTTCCCGTCTTGGATTCAAATTCTACGGGAATTCATGAGAAAAAGTTTCTCATGAATGCCCCGGTTGGGATGATAGATTAACTTATTTTAATAGCTAAACAGACCAATTCAGGGTGAATAGCTAGCTAGTTGTATGTGCAGAAAACAAGGTACAGCTTTTGCTTCCATGACATTGAACAGAGATGTAAGAAAACTAGGAGGGATCCTTATTTGTTATTACTGGTATAAATAGATCTCTTATTGGACTCTATTGTGTTTTCCTATTAAATCTGCATTTGCTGGTCTACTTGAAGATCCTTTCCCATTTTCTGGTGCTAACAGATCCTGGTTCACACGGAACAGTATTACCCTTAAAATAAAAGTGGATTTGGTTAGGGTGGACGTGGAAGATCTGATTGGTTCTTCTCTCTATCAATAATGTCACCAATAATAAAAGGGCATTAATTTGGTTTCGAGAAAGCGTTGTTTAAAGATTTATCCGGACTGTGGGTCATAGAAGGCTGACCTTTGTGCTATGGTTAAGGTGTCCCACATGGGAAGGGCTGCCAAAGAGGTAGGTAATAGTTTTTAGGACTGTCCCGCAAGTCTGTTCCTAACCTAAGCACATGACATTCACGTGTTTGCTCGGCTGTCTATCACCCCTCATTCTTTAGTGTTGCCAACCATAAGCCCTCTATGTTAGTACTAAAAAAAAAAAAAAAACAAATCTACCTAATTGCAACTTTGATTCATTTTCTCTCTTCTATTTTTTCGTCTTTTTGGGCAGTCATTTGTTTGTGCGTGCAACAAGTAGAGAAGACCAGCAGGGAAAGAGACAATTGTGCCGACCAACAGTGTTCATTAACCTAACGGATTGTGGTGATGAGTTTCATCTGATTAAAACATCAGAGGGATATGAATAATGAATTTATTTACTGTACCAAAAAGAGTAAATTTTTTTGTTGAGCATGTCCCTGTCTACCTTCATCCTTTATTTTTTTTAGCATAGCAATTAGTAAATGTGGCAATAACTTGTCTTTCTTGTTTGGTTAATTTTTGAAAGCTGTATGGATAAGCTTTGGTGTGAAAAAAAAGGGGGAGAAAGTTATCTGTGGGAATATAAGCATAATAAAATGTCTCAACATCCAAGTGAGGCCAGAGTATACTAGTTGCGAGGACAGTCCGAAAGGGTGAAAAAGTAGGTGAAATACGGAGATAATTTACACAAGTGGACATCTATCCCTCTCTCACTCCATCAGATAGCAACTTCTACCCAAGATCCTTAACCCTTACCATCCACTTGGATTTCACGATGAGATATAGAGAGGGAGGGAGAGAGACTGTGTGGTGGTGGGTAACAAATAATTTGCAAATGGGAGGTGAGATAATAACAACAAAAAGGTGAATCAACCTTCCCATCCCTAACCCTACCCTTGTTGCCTAAACTTGAACCACAAGGTTGGGGAAAGAAAGAAAAAGTGGAAGGTGAACCAAAGCCCATATACAACCACAACCACACTCATATCCTTTTTCCTATTCTTCCCTTTTCTTTCATCATCTTCTCTTGAACCCAACCTCCAACTCTTCTAGAAACACCCCCCCCTCCTCTCTCTCTCTCTCTCTCGCATGATGGCGTTGTGTACCAATAGAAAAAAGAACCGCAACTACCATTTGCACCCTTAAACACAAGAATATCACAAGAATAGCTATACCACTTGAGCATTTCTTTTCCTAACACCCATCACAACTAACTTACTAAATTAGCAAAACAGGATTTACATCCCCTGAAAACCATGAACCTAACTTGATTCATTTAAGCCTTAAATAGTTTCAAGACTTGCCTTTTATTGCAATGAGCTAAAATCAATATTTACTCATTTAATAACTAGTAATGGGATTTTTAATGGAATTTAAGTTTTTTAAAAACCTCATCATTGAGCACTGGGAACGGTCCATACCAAAATTATCAAATACGAACTTCCTTTGTTCACGTATGAATAGAGATGGATTCCTTATGAGTCGATTATGGAGTTAAAAGAAAAAAAAAAAAGAATGATGTGACCAATTAGTTGTAAGATAAAGGGGAATTAATAATTATGGAAGCAAGGTGATTGGTCCTAAAAAATAAACGAAACTGGACCTTACTACAGACCCCCCACAACAATAAGGATATAAGTATAAGGGTGTACCTGAATTCTGGTACATGTTGTCTAATGAGTTGGGAAAGATTTTGAGAGTTAACTACACTAAATTAATCAAAAGTTGTCCAAAGTTTAAGACGTGAAAAAATGAAAAAAAAGAGAGGGGGGGGGGGGGCGGGGGCAGAGATCACACCTTGTCTTGCCTGTAATTTAATATAACCTTACTTTTACACCTACCTGAAGGTTACCTATAGTTAATGTCCCTTATTTTATGTTTTGTTTGATGCTAATATCATCAAGAGAGATACCACCAGCCACTCCCTCAAACCTGTCTCACCAACTCACATCTAGAAGCAATTAGGGTCACTTCTCTCTCTCTCTCTCCCTCCCTCTCTCTCTCTCTCTCTCTCAGAGTCAAAAGCCTATAAAATCACTTCTTAAGTACTCTCAAGGGCCGGCCTTAATGTTCTAGCAACAAGAAAAAGAAGGCCTCCGTTTCTAATTCTACCACAGCACCACCCATCCTTCGGGGGGAAAAAAAGACCCACCAAAAATATTAAGGTTCCCAGTCCTACTTGTAAATCCTACTGAAATGGGAAGGTCTCCTTGCTGTGAAAAAGCTCATACAAACAAAGGTGCGTGGACCAAGGAAGAAGATGATCGCCTTATTGCTTACATTAGAGCTCACGGTGAAGGTTGCTGGCGTTCACTTCCTAAAGCTGCTGGTCTTCTTAGATGCGGCAAGAGTTGCAGACTTCGTTGGATCAACTACTTAAGACCGGACCTTAAACGTGGCAATTTCACTGAAGAAGAAGATGAGCTCATTATCAAACTCCATAGCCTCCTTGGAAACAAGTAAGCCTAGCTAGCTAGCTAATAGTAGAAAAAAGATTAACCCATTATACTAAAACATAGTTGACTATTTAATGCTGATGGTATCTGTTATTTGTGTTGTAGATGGTCACTTATAGCCGGAAGATTACCAGGGAGAACAGATAATGAGATAAAGAATTATTGGAACACACATATAAGAAGAAAGCTTTTGAATAGAGGCATAGATCCTGCAACTCATAGGCCACTCAATGAACCAGCACAAGAAGCTACAACAACAATTTCTTTCACTACTTCTACTTCAGTTAAAGAAGAGTCTTTAAGTTCTGTAATGAAAGAGGAAAGTCCAGAGAAGATAATTAACACAACTGCTATTGTATGCAAAGAAGAGAAAACCCAAGTTCAAGAAAGGTGTCCAGATTTGAATCTTGAACTTAGAATTTGCCTTCCTCACCAAAACCAGCCTGATCATCACCAGTCATTCAAAACTGGAGGAAGTAGAAGTCTTTGTTTTGCTTGCAGTTTGGGGCTACAAAACAGCAAGGATTGCAGTTGCAGTGTTATTGTGGATACTATTGGAAGCAGTAGTAGCACTAGCACAAAAACTGGCTATGACTTCTTAGGCATGAAAAGTGGTGTTTTGGATTATAGAAGCTTGGAGATGAAATAAAGATATTTGGAGCTAATTAATGTTGATGTTGTAGTTGAAAAAGAATGGAGAGGAATGAGAAAGGAATTTCTATTAGATTGAAAATCTCTTAATTAATTTATCTTTTTTGCCTTATATTCTCTAATTTGTATGAATATATTATTGCTGCATAATAATAGTACAAATATACTATTAGTACAATTTAGTGATATCGGTACTATAATTGGTGAATGTTTTCCACTCATTGAAGTATAATTTGTCTTCCTTTTTGATATACATGTTCATGATTTTTCTTTTTTGGTTTCTTCTTCTTCTTTTTTTCCGGGAAAGTAGGACTATCTCAGATTTTCAAAAGGTTCATGTTATTAGTTGTTATTTGCTGCCAGCAGTAAAGATAAAGCAAGAGTTAATTAGTAAGCTTAATTAGTTTTCTAATTGTTTCTTTAAAAAATGATGACCCTTCTAAAAAGTTTTTTAAACAATTAAATTCAAGTTGCGTCCCCTCCCTTGAGGTTTTAAGTGTGTTGAACTAGATGTTGATAAAAAGGAAAGCAGAAAAAAGAACAAATAGTTTACTCAGCTTTTTATATAATAAGTCGAGTTTTCAATTTGTTTTTATATTTTTAGTTATATTTTGTTTTTATATTTTTAGTTATATTTATGATAATTTTTAATGATATTTAAATTTTTAATATATCATTTTGATCAATTTTTTCTGTCACAAACAAATATTTTAATCGAAATATTTCTGATTAAAAAAAAAACAAATTTTACATATTTAAAAATAAAATATGTAGATCAAGTGATTTTAAATGTATTTTTTTTTTAGGTGTCGAGCATTTTGATCAAAACTTTTGTCTATTGTCAAAATAATTGAAAAAAAAAACAAATTAATTATTACATAAAATAAATTAACCTATTTATTTTATTAAAAATGATGAACCAGAAATACATTCTCAAGAACTCTGAGAAATGATCATCTACAGATTAGATCTTGCAAAAAGCAATTTCTTTGTGGTAATTCATATGACATACGTATGAAAGTTTATCATGCCCACTACCTTATTCCATTATTTGTTGATTTTAGATTCTTTTTGGGCTTGTCTTTTTTGGAAAAGTTTGATTTTCATTATCAAAAAATGGATAAGCCGTGAGAGGAGGAGAAATGGGGATGGGAGTGGTGGGTAACCCATCTTTTCTATAGTAATAAAAGCATACAAACACTACTACACTACACTACACTACACTGCCCCTTCTACCAACCTCATATTGATTATCTAAGCTCCATATTCCAACTACACTACACTGCACAATTGAACATGGATGATCAAACCCTAGCTAACATTGTTTTTGTTATAAATAAGTTTAGGTCATGTACGTTACACCTCTCACTACTTACCGTATTCTTTAAAAATTATTTTTCGAATTAGTTTTTACATGAAATCAAGACATTTTTTTTGAAAGGGTTTGTTCTAGTTTAATATTAAATTTAGTCAGAAAAAATTGGACATGGTAATGTGAAAGGATGTCTGTGTATATTAAGGTTTGTTCCACACATTATTAACGATAATAAAATAATTTTTATCATAAGTACTGTCAATAAAGTTAAACTTATAATTATAACTAATTAAAACTTTGGGGAATGAATAAACTTTTATTATCCAATGAAATTGATCAAGGAGGTGCCAGGTTTTTGTTGACTTCATATGCCTTAATTATTAATATGCAACTACTAACACATGAATGAATTGTTGTAGTTAAGAATTAATTTTTGAATTAACTTTATTAGGTAAGAAGTTCATTCAATCAAGCCAGAGATCACTTAACTTGTTTTGCTTTTATCAAACATACACCTTAATTTATTACCAGATCATTCTAGAGTTTGTTTAGACAGAAGTGAGAAAGGCACTAATGTTGGGATTTTGGAATCTGATATGCGACATCTGGGAACTCAAATGTGACCAAGTCTCCATGAATTTTGAAAACGCAATTTTATTTTTGGTAAAATGGGTAAATTAAAGATGCCAAACTAGGAACTCTTTTATATTGACAAGTAATAAAGTTATAGATCAATGTTATACAAAAAAAACATATACATAATTATATAAATAATTGTGTGGGAGTTATTTATTTTTTTATTTTAGTATGATTTGTCAGTTTATGGATTATTATTATTATTATTTTCCAAAACCAAATCGTCATGATTGAAATTAACAAATTCCTAGAGAATGAGACTGCCCATCATCCAGAACCAAATGGCAAATCACGAGCAATATTAATTCCATCTTATGTCAATTGGGTCCTACCGTTCACTATTTAGGCTTGCTTAACTACCTTATAATAAAAACAATAATAATTGAATTATTAAGTAAATATTAAAACATTTTTTGTAATCGATCACGTAGACCAAGTACTCATAAAAAAAATAGAAAGATATTGTTGAAAAGAAACCCAAACAAGAAAGAGAGGAAACCCTCAATTATCAAGCCCTGAAAATTAAGGAAATCTAGTTCAAAGTTGAGGATTAGCACCCATTTGATGGTAGTTGCATTGAAACAAGATTCTTGCCCTAAAAAAAAAAAAAAAAACCAAAGAAAGAAAGAAAGAAAAGAAATCACAATGGCCATTTCCACAGAGAAAAGGCGTCCACTTTTCAACTATTAATTTTTCTTTTTTCCCCTTTTTCAAAGGCGTTAGGTAGAGACAATAGAAGCTTCCATGGGATATTTTTATTTTTCCCCTCCATGGCTTCTCCCTCTCTTACTCTAACAAGAAAATTATACAACAAGACTTAGGTTTATTATTACTGACTTATTGCTTCTCTCGCTATCAATAGGATAATAATTATCCCACCTTCGTTGCCAATAGTTCAACTTCTACCAACATCACATGCATAGCCTTTTCTGAAGGGACCCTCCAAGCTTCCTTCTGGATCCTTGCTTTTCCTAAATGACCCTCAATTGCTCGATTATTAAAGATATTGCCTTCCTCATGTGTCTCAGATGTGAATCTCATCTTAAAATTGTATGAAAAAAACACCTCAATAGTATAAGGCACGACGCCTATAGATCGTGAGAATGGATAGAGATCTTTGCATCACATGATAAGGGTATCTTTATTCATCCTATCCTGTCTTTTGGGCATACAAAAAGTTTGGGCTTCGAAAAGAAGTATTCACTTAAAGGTATGCATGCCTTTCTTCTCAAAAAATAAGGTAAATTGTCAGCAGATAGGATTTTAGTTATGATCCTGAAGTTCTTTTTCTTGACCAAACAATTTGGTCTAAAGCATGGTCGAAGTTAAAGCTTTTAATTACTAAACGATTCGGAAACGAAAGCAGTATCCAAGCATGACAAGACGGCCCTCCTAAATTTTGAGAACTTTTTGACGTAATATATTCTTGGATTTATGATTCACACACACACATATATATATATATATTTTTTGGGTATTTGAAATCAATTTTTATCAATTTTTACACGTAAAAACTAAGTTATTATTTTCAATCCGACTATAATTGCATTATCTAAGTTGATAATAAAGAATCCATGAAATTGCTATTTTTCTCATTCTGATATAAAATTTGAGTAGATCTGACAGTTAAAAAAAAATGGTACACTTTTAATCATACAGTTAATCTGCTGAAATATTTTAAATTTTAGATTAAACTAATCCTTTAATATTATTATTTTAAGAATTTCTTTCAAATAATAGAATCTGACTAATGGTCTAAAAGGTTTGGTGGATTGAAAATCTCCACCTCTAATAGATATGGACGTTAATTTAATTTCTTGAATTAATTTAATATAAACTGAAATAGAATGACGTCTTCATACGTAAATTTTTCGTTTTATTTAAAGAATTAATAACTATAACACTCTTGTGAAGAGAGAGTGAATAGGAAAAAGAAATAAAACTCGAGTCATCTAAACAAGGCGGGAATTTACTGTTTATGTCTGTGAACGGCCAAAAAAATCAACTTAGAAGAAATGTTCTAGAAAAAGTTGGTAATGAAAGAGTGACGGGAATGTAAATACTTGACAGACGGGGGGCAATTAACAAGAGATTATGAACGTCCGCATCCCACACGTTACCAACTCCTCTCTTTTAGGGTGGTAGTTGGCAGCCGTCCGACGTAAGATCATGTGCTCGGTTGCGGCGGTGGCCCCCACATCTGGTCACCTTCACCACAACCTTTTGACCCCCACCAATCTTTTTTTATGATGCAAAACATCACGGCTCCATCCTTTCTTATCTTCAATCCTTTTCTTTTTCCTTTTTTCGTTTAATTTCCCCAGCCATTTAAGACTTTTTCAATGCTTTTTATTTGATATTTTTTAGATTTTAATGGTACACTTTTTCACGATGAATTAAGAGATGCTAGTTACTTTTGTTAGTAACTCAATTTAACAATTTTTTAATAGTCAAAATAGTTTGAAATAATTTTTTGTGTAAAAAAATTTTACTGAAAAGAAAATATTAATGCTGCAATAAAGAGGTTTAACATAATATATAAATTAAAATTGAAAAGGAGTGCAGATACAAGATTACCCCAATTCTGTAATTTAAATTTCATTTAAATTCGATAAAGTAAACCTTGCTCGATGATCTTGCAATTGAGAAATATTATACTCTTTAAAAATGGGTTTCCTAAAACTTTTATTCGAAGTCGAGAAGCGTAAAGCTTTTAACGTTTTTTTTTCCTATTTAATTAATTAATTTATTTCGGCTGCACTACATTAAATAAAGAGTTAATACTCTTGACTATGTTTATATAATAAGTTAAATTTTTAATCTGTTTTTAAATTAAAAAAATATTTTCATATTATTTGAGGTGATTTTTAATTTATTTTTTTAGTTAAGATTTTCGATCAAATACATATGTGATTTGATAAAATTATATTTATTTTTTGTTACAAATAATCTATATATATTAATATAAAGATTAATTACTGATTAATTGATAAAAAATTTTAACTGAAATGATAGATTAGAAATCGAATCAAATAATATAAATAAAT